GTCTGGGCGACAGTGAGACTCCAACTCAAAAAAAAAAAAAAAAATTATTTTTATGAATTCCAGGAGTCTTTGTTGTTCTTGTTGTTTGTTTTTTGAGACTGAATCTCACTCTGTTGCCCAGGCTCATGACTCACCACAGCCTCGACCTCCTGGGCTTTATAGTGATCATCCTGCCTCAGCCTCCTAAGTAGCTGAGATTACGTGCCACCACATCCAGCTAATTTTTTCATTTTTTGTAGCGACAAGGGGGCCTCATTTTGCTGCCCAGGCTGGTCTCAAACTCCTGGCCTCAAGTGATCCTCCTGAAGTGCTAGGATTACAGGCGTGAGCCACCGCACCTGGCCAATTCCAGGATTATTATATTGCAATTTTGTATGCCCTTCCTCACTACTGAGTTGCTCAAATATGACTCTGAATCAAGAAAAACTGGATCTCAGGTAGCTCACGTATCTTTGGGTGTTACTAAAAATAATTCTAGGATGAGCTGCCTAAGTGATTCAAGAGAAATAACCAGCTTTAAAATGAGAACCTTCTGAATGGCAATTTAAATCCATCTTCAGCTTCACTCATTTCTATGAGGTCCAATCATGGTCTAATGACTTTTCAACCAAGGAAAGCCTACAAAGCTGTGGCCGGAAGGAGTGAGGGAAGCACCAAGTGCCTTCAAGGTTTATTTTTCACCCTAGGAAACATCTCGGCCGACCGACCCTCCGCAGGATTTGCCGTTGGCGCTCCAGCCGCTCCAGAGAAGGGGGGAAGGTGGCAGATACAAACAGGATTCCGTGGAACCCGCCTCCCGCTCACTGAGGACAGGCCTGCAGGGACCAAGGGCTTTGGGGTCCACGGCTCCGCGGGGCCCCTCCTTCTGCCCGCTCTGGGATCCGTACCTGGCAAGCAATGGACCGCCGAAAGCCGCACGCCATGTTTGGCTCCCGGAAGTGCCAAACTCCGGGATCTCGCCCCGCCCTCCCCGTAAGCCCCGCCCCCGCGCGCCGGAAACCCGCCCCAGAGGGGGACGCCAGCCAATCAAGGAGCCGCGTGGCCCGTCCCTGACCTTTGCCCTGCTGCCGCGAGGGCGCGCGGGAAATCCCGAGTGCATCTGGAGCTCGCGGGGCCGCTGAGACCATGGCCGCCTCCTCGGTGTCTAAGGTATGTGGGGTGGGCGCTCACTGTGGTTCCCTGTCCCCTCCTAGGAGGAGGAATGGAGCGGAGGCCACACAGGCCTTGGTCCCCTGGCCCGAGGGAAGGCGGGGAGGGGGCGGCGGACTGAGCTGAGGCGTCCTTGCCCCCAGGTCCAGTGCAGGCCAACTTTGCTTGCGGGGCGAGGACGCAGGTCTGCCTTGAGGGGCGACTGGGAGGAGTTTTTCAGCTCTGGTGGGTGGAGGTCGGAGGTCCAGAGCATGTGCCCCAGGCTTTCCTCTCTTTTCTCTCGTAAATATTTTCTGTTCGCCAAGCACTCCGTTAGGTACCGAGGTTGCTAGGGTACGGACCGATCGGGTGAGGGTGGAGATGCGCAGGGAAGGCGCGCAGCACTGCCGGGCCCGGCAAGCCGGGGATGCCGCGCTGGGAACCCGGAGATCCGAGTGGATGCAAAGCATTGCGCCACACAGAGGTGAGAGAAGAAAAGATTTATTTAAGAAAAGTTCACCCCCCACAGACAGGGAGTGGGCCCACACTCTAGGTGAGTGTGGCGGCGTAGCCCCCCAGAGTCCTG